AGACGAAGCCTTCAAAGGTCGGGGACGGCTGAGGACAGGCACCCCATCTGCTTCTTCCCCTGAAATTGCAACCATAATTCCAAACACATGGGGCCAATCCAGGGCTACAGACAGCTGGAAGCCAGGCCCAGTCTGGGGAGACACGGGGACATAAGAGGCACACACGGCACACACGTGGCATCTACGAGGGTCGCCCCACACCCAGGCCATCCCCAAGTGTCCAAGGCTGCCCCCTCCCCACAGGCTGACTGCAGCCCCCAGCCACCCAGTACCAAGCCGCTTCCCACCCTGGGGCCTCGGAACCACCGCCCCCCTCCCCAGAGCCCCCCCACGCTGGCCGGTCCCACTAGGTGCCCTCCGCCGGTACCAGGAAGCCTGCGTGGTCCCCACTCCAGGCCGGGCCTGGAGCCCTTTCCTGTGTGCCCTCCGGCCAAGCTTCTGTCTCACGCCACTAGACCCAGAGCCCCCTCGGGGCAGGGCCGGTCCGATCCCACTGCCCGGCCAGGATCTGGGCACCAAGCAGCATTTGAGGACAGTGTAGACCTGTAACAAAGCTCAGGGGCCAGGCCAGCCCGTCCAACAGGACGGGGGGCACTTTGTTAAAGCACGTACAGACACATACACACGTGCGTACATATATGTGCGTGTGTGTCCACACACCTGTGCATGGAGCATGGGCTCGGCCCCCTGGCCTCCCTCCCGGGGCAGCGAGTGTTGTGCACCCTGAGAAGAAGGGCTGCTGGGAAAACGGGGTCGGGCACCATCTCCACACAGGGCAGGGAGCTCTCACCCGCTGGGCGGGGTACCATCCGAGGTGTGCAAAGAACCCAGGTCCCAAGAGGTCGGGGTGCTCACACCCCCAGACACGGCTCAACTCCCAGCCCGAGTTCCTCTCCCTGGAGACTCCCATCTCCACACTCCCTTCTGGAAACCCCTGTGGTGGACACTGAGACCAGCAGACAGGTCGGGGTTTCCTCCCGCCCCCCAGGCAGGGGCCCCCACCCCCATCTCCTCCCAGACCAGGATTAGGAGCCCCCCAGGGATGGGGCTGCGGCCCTGACCGACCGCCTTCCAGCCGATCTCTGCCTGTGGCCGGTGGACATTCCCGAGGGCGGGGGAGGAAGTGGAGAGTGGCCTGGGCCCTGGACGAAGCCCACCCGGCAGAGTCCAGCCTGCCCATCAGGCGGCCCAAGGTCCTTCCCCGGATGGCGTGGTGCTCCCGGCAGAGGCGCTGGAGTCCAAGGGCCTGGGTGCAGATCCCACGGCCGCGCAACGGGGACACTTGAAAGGAGATGGCCAGGCCTGGTCTGTCCTCCTGGCCTGTTGTCAGTGGCTCTGAGCACAGCCCCGGGGGGAGGGGGAGACCCCTGGGCGCAGACCCTGCCTGTTCCTCTTGCCCCCCAGCCCCCAGCCCTGCCCACCACAGAACGGGGTGAGCCCACGGCCCACAGACAGGGGGCAGCGTTCCCCCTCAGCCACCTCCCAGGACAGGGACGTCGCCGGGTCTCAGAACAGCTCTGAGCCTCGGAAGAGAGGAATGCCCCCTGCGCCGCAAGGAGAGGGGCAATTCTCAGCGTCTGCACACAGACTGTGCTCCAGAAGCACCATCAGACAACAGCCTAATAAACCGCCCTCACTGGCCCCCGTCCTCCCCCGACTCGCCGGAACCCCAAAGGTCTAGTCCTGGGGGGACCAGGCCCCTGCTGGACTCTCAAGCACCCAGCCCCACCCCAAAGCGCCCTCGGGTCTCCCAGCAGAACATTTTTGACGTATTCTAAGCCGTCAGCAAAACAAGATGAAAATTCAGTAATTGCTTTTGGCAGGAGTCCACGGGCCAGCACAGGGGCCAGAAATAACCGGGGAGAGGCTTCCTGGACCACCTGCAGCCCGGGGGCCTCTGTGTGGGCTCTGAGCCTGACCCTGCTGCCACCGCTGCCTGGCGGCCCAGACAGTGGGGACGGGGGGGTGGAGGGACGCTGGAGGGACGCGGGGGAGCGGCCAGGACAGAGCGAGGCTGTCGCTTACACGCTGCAAACCGGGAACTTCCGGAACAAGTTCCCGGTTTTCGGTCCAGCCATCCGAAAAAATGTAATGTCATACTTGAGCGAGAGAAGTAGCTGCTGTGCCGCTTAGCGGCCCAGAAATAGTTGGCTGAGTCCCGGGAGAGGGTGTTGGCCAAGGCGGTTAAAAGGCAGAAACGCCAGGCTGGCCGGGCGGAGCTCACCCCCAGCCCCACCCCCTGCAGGCCTGGCCAGTCCCGGCAGCAGGAGAGGGGTGTGAACCCCAGCGTGGTTAGAACCAGGGTCACTGCGTATCTGCCCGGGGCGGGGGGACCTGGGTCTGACCCTTCCCGGCACAGAGGCCGGAGCGGGGAGGAACCCACTTCACCCCGTCAGATCAGACCCCAGCCCACATCACGGGACCCAAGGAGGGGCTGACGGCCGGCACGGGGACTGACTGGTGAGCCTCACCCTGCCCTTTTTCTGTTGCCTTGGTGTGTCCCAAGCAGGACCCACCTGTACATGTGGCGTGCGTGGCCGAGACCCCGAGAAGGTCCCCAGAAGTGTCTGCCGGGGGGAGTCCGGCCAGGTCTTTGGTGAGAAGGAGACCAGAGGGGTCCAGCCAGGGCTGGGCTCTCGGCACCGGCTGCCCCACATCCTAAAGAAGGCTGGCGGGGCTTCCCTGGTGGCACGGTGGTTGAGAGTCCGCCTGCCGATGCAGGGCACACGGGTTCGTGCCCCGGTCCAGGAAGATCCCACATGCCGCGGAGCGGCTGGGCCCGTGAGCCATGGCCGCTGAGCCTGCGCGTCCAGAGCCTGTTGCTCCGCAACGGGAGAGGCCACAACAGTGAGAGGCCCGCGTACAGAATAAAGAAGGCTGGCTATGCCCTCCCTCTGCCCACCTGTCCACCTGCTGTCTGTGCCGGTCCCGTCTCCTTGGGAGGGGGAGGGGGCTTCCACCTGTCACCTCATTCCCACCTCTTTAACCATCACCTTGCGGAGGACACAGGGCGGGAGCAGGCCCCATGGTGCCAAAGCTGCACTTGGTCTCGGACGAGGGCCCTGGGCTGCCCGCCTCCCACTGGGAAGTTAGGCTGGGCTGTCCTTGTCTCCTCGTCCTTCTCCTCCCAAGAGGCACCTGGATGCCCCTGAGGACTAGCCCCCGGTGGCCCTCTCAGGGCCGAGGGGTGAGGATGCCTAGCTCTGAAGCGCACCCACGAGCCCCCCCACTTCAGGCTCCAGGCCGCTTACTCCCCAGGTGAGAAGGGTGTTGATGGCCTGTATCAGTTAGGAGTGCACGAGGCTGCAACACACAGAAAACCAGCTCTCACAAAGGCGTCCAGGCTCCACATCGCCAGAGAACGAGCTCCCGCTTCATCCCTGCCCACCGTCCTAGCCTGGGCTCCCACCTCCCGGGTGCAAGAGTGCTGCTGCCTCACCAGGCAACATGACTGAATTCCAGGCAGGAAGAAGCGGGTAGGACCCAAAGCCTCGCTCATCAGGAAGGTGGTCCTCCCTGGACACGCCTGTCTACACCCTTGGCCAGAACAGACTCACGTGGGCACCCAGCTGCAGGGCGTCTGGAGGACCTGTGTGTTTAGGTAAGCACGTTGCCCCCCCAAACACAACTGGGGCCCCTTTAGGAAGGAGGCAGAAAGGAGTAGAGGTGGCAGTGTGGCCCCACCCCACCGCAGACTGATGAGGAAATGGCTCAGGCAGCGGGGCTCTCCCAAGGCCGCACAGCTGGGCAGAGCCGGAAAGGGAGGAAACGATGGAAAACCTCTTTCCCCAAAGGAGAAGCCTCCCTGCCCCCGGGGCCACTTGAACCCTGACTGGTAATCACCCACGAGCCTGTGCCCAGGCTGGGAGGAAAGAGGCCAGCTCCACTCCATCCCCAGGCTCCTATAGGGAGGGCACGTGGATGAAACACACGTGCACACACGTGCACGCACATACAACGGCATGTATACACACACGTACATGCATGCATGCAAATACAGATGTTCACGGTGTACGCAGAGTCGCGCACACACACCGGCACACGGGGGCACACACAGGCGCGTGTACAGATATGGCCACACGTGCATGTGCGCTATGTGCACGTACACACGCGGTGCACGTGTTTGTAGCACGCGGGCACACATGTGTGCGTGCAGACATGCATGTACACATACGCACCAACACATATACACACTCGCACACGAGCTGCTGGCTCCCAGCCACTCGCTGCCGATGGGCTCAAGGAGCAGGCTGCCAGCCCCACGCCAGGACCCTCTCTGGCTTGCCCACCCCAGGCCCAGCTCATCCTGTCACCCTTGGCGACGTCCAGCCCACCAAAAGCCCAGACTTTCCTAACTCAGGCCTCTGGCTGCCCCGGCACCCCTGGAAGAGGGGGGAGACAGGGCAGGAAAAACCCCAAATGGAGCCACAGTGTTTATAAAACAGGTCACTGAATTACACAGAACAATATTTCCCTCGCCGGTGCAGTTCCTTCCTGGACCAGCTTCACACAGATGCCCGTGCTGGCCTCAAGCGCTACAGAGGGGGCTCGGCAGCCTGGGAGAACCACAGGGGCTGGGCCGGATGCAGTGAGGGGCTGCTGGAACCGCGACGGAAGCCACACGCATTTTCTTGGGCGCTGGACAAAGATACAAACAAGCGGCTGCACACATCTGCCCTCACCCCGTGTCGGGCAGTGGGCAAGGCTGAGGCCTCGGGCGTGGCCCGGAGGGGCTTTTCCTCCCTTCCCTGCTCCCCGGAGGACAGAGGATATCCCCTCGGGAGGGCTCTTGATAAGCATTTGTCCAGTGGACCCTGGAGGATCCTGGGGCCTCCGGCCCTGACCTGAAGATCTCCACGACCCTCCCAGCCTCAAAAAAGCACATCTTCCTTTGTCAAGGTCCAAGAAGGGGCCACTGTGGGGCAGGAAGGCTCCGGTGACCCTGGGCAGACCACCCCCTCCCCGCCCCCGCGCCTTTGTTCAGAGTTCTCCCCCACCCCCTCCGCCTTCGGCCTGATGCTTTTTTGGTAAGGAGATTATAGATACGGAAATAGAGGGAAAGAAGATAACTAGCAAATGGTAAAAGAAGTTTTCTCCACGTAATCCGATTTGTGCTTATCCACAATCTCAAAATTTAAAAAATAAAACAAACACCTTCACTTCCTCTGCCCTGAAGGGAACGCTAAAGGGATGGTGTAGTTCTGACTTCAGCCACCAGGTGGCGGCCAAGACCAGCGCATCCCGTCTCTGACTGGCCTCAGCCCTGGGGAGGGTGCGGGGCTTCCTCCAAGGGTTTTCTGGGTTCCAGGAGGAGGAAGAGGGACGGACACAAAGGGAGACTGTGTGCTGCGGAGGTGACCACAGAATGCCTACCTACTGGGGGGCCCTCCCAACGATGCCCCGAAGTAGGTATTGCCATCCTCCTTTGATGACTGGGAAACCGAGGTTTGGAATGGAGAAGGGCCTCGCCCACCATCACACGGCCCAGCATGGGCAGAGCCTGGGCTGGAGCTCTCGTCCCCCGACTCGTTCTGATTCATTCCACCAATACCCAGAGGTCACCTGGCTTTATCTGCAACACTCAGGATGGCGGTACAAGGATGGGGACCCCACCACACCCCGCAGCCAGCCAGGACGGGACGCTTTTGAGGCCCATCTGCCTGGGCACTCTCGGCTGCCCCAGGTCCTCAGCCCACCTTCTGTGGCCGTCCCCAGACATGAGGCTCCAGCAGCGACTTTCTGCTGCAGACTCCATGGCTCATCGGGGTTCCTGCCCTCCAGTGGGAGGGAGTTGGGGGCCTCCTGGGGTCCCACTGGGGCTGCCACGGGCGAGGGCTGAGTGGCTGGCCACAGGATTTGGCCCAGGGTGTGGCTGGAGGGGCCGGTGCCACTCCCGCCCCAGGGATACCCACACTCCCTGCTTGGGAGCCCACATTAGCAAAAACCTCGGAGGGCCCTGTCCCATACCAGCCAGGCCGAGAACAAGAGGAACAACAGAACCAGAGCCGCAGCCAGGGTCAGGGAGGGCACCAGGTCCGAGTCCTCGGGGCCAGGGATGGCATCAGCCGCGGCATGGTGGGGGGGGGGCGGTTGCACCAGACAGCTGGGTGTCAGAGACCTTCTCACCGGGGCGCCCTGGCTGGCCCATCTGTGAGACGGAGGTGAGGGACAGGACTCCGTTTGGGAAGGGCCCACCACCCACCCACCGCCTGTCCCATCCCTCTCCCTCGGGAAGCCCCCCAGACACAGCAGGAGCCAGGGCCCAAGAGGTGCCCCAGAGGTGACCCTGGGCAGTGACTCCCTGAGCCTTGATTTTTTCCTCTGTGAAATGGAGATGCCAAAGACCACCCTGGGAGGATAAGGACCAGATGAGACGGCCCCTGGGCCGCTGGCGTTCCCTCCAACCTCCTCACCTTCTCCCTTGAGATGACAGGGGCTGGAAGTCAGGACCTTTTCCCCTGTGCCAGGGGGTCTGGAATGCAGCTAGGCTAGTTTCTGGGGCAGTTGAAAGCCAGCAGCCTCGTCCGGAGGGACTAGAACTGCGGGAGGATTTGCATCAAGGCTACCAGCTGCTCTCTACCCACACGGCAGCTAAGGAAGTGGGCACCAGGTTACATCCATCTTACAGATGAGAAAAATGAGGCTCAGTAAAGGAAGTGGCTCCCGAGAAGCCCCAGAGCTTGGCAGGGAGGGTCCTGGCAGCCTGAGACCCTATTCTCGGGCTCCTCTTCTGTACAGGGACAGAGTGTGGACTAGGTCACTTAAGCTCCAATGCCCTAGATCCGCCAGCAAGGTCCAGGAGACAGGGAGTGGCCTCTGCCCAGCCCCTTCCCAACCCCAACCCAGGCAGTTCTCAGGACATTTACCTTCCAGCCATTGGGCTCCCATGTCCTGGAAGAGGGCTGCCCCGGAGCTGCCAGACTCCCCAGGGACAGACACCAGTGAGTGGCAGCCTGGATGGATCAACTAGGGGCTCTTTCCGCTAAAGATGCCACCCCCTCTGGGGCTTCCCCCAAGGAGTGGCCGGAGCTGCGAGGCGGGGAAGTGAGGGCCCCAGCCCCCACGTGGGTGTGTCCAGGGCTTTCCCGGGCCCAGCAGAAACGGGTTCCTCAACTCCCAGACCAGGGCTTCCTGCTGCCGCTTAGCTTCCGCATGGGGCCTGGGGGAGGCTAAGGAAGAAGGGCAGGCTGTAAATTCAAGCCAGCAAGGGGTCTCCTGGCATTGGATGTGTGCCCATGCTATGCCAGGCGCTGGGTGGGAGGGAGGGGGGGATAGTCCCACCCCACCCCCAGAGGCCAGGTTCCAGAGCAGCCCATCTGGGGCTGACCCAGATGAGAGTGGGCAGGAGGGAAGATAGGAGGGTTCAGAGGCCTGAGGACCACAGAAATGATCTTTGCTGAAGGAAATTATCCCTTAAGGACAAAGATGTTCATCACACTGCTAATTTTAAAAGCAAAAAGGTGTGAAATAACCTTAATGCCCATGACAGAAGATTCATGAGCAAATCCAGGTTCGTCCACTCAAGAACCTTAAGAAGCCGGTAAGACAGGATTATGAACAAGGAGAGTCATACCAGCTTTATTCTTTGAGCCCCAAACTGAAAATAGCCTGTCCAGGATAGTTGAATTGACACAAGACAGATTAACAGAAGGAGAAAAAAACCAAATTGAATTTCCTACATGCCGAGGTCTCATAGATATGGGCCCCAAAGAAATGACCAAAGCAGGCAGCTTTTATGCTTTTTAGACAAAGAAACAACAAATTTGTGAAGAACTGACAAGACAAAGAAACTCAGGTTTGGGTACTCATTAGCGAAGAAACTAGGCAGAGTCTGTTACACAGCCTTCTTGCCTGGAATTCCCCATCTCTGGTGATAAGGATGTCTCTCTACCTCCTGGTGCAGGAAGGGTATATTCCACATGGGAGATTTATTTTCTGCTTTCAGGGGGACAGAGAGGAGGGTCAGAGTGCCCTTCTTGCCTCCACTGTTTCTCAAGTAACTTTAATTCAGCATAATCAATCTGCCCCTTTGGCATATTTGGGGGTGGCTTGCCCCGAGCTTCGTGAAACCCAACCACCCATCAAAGGATGGAACTTAACACACACAGCAACAAAAAGAGAACAAGCCACTAGAAAGCACAGCACGGATGAACCTCATAGATGTACTGAGTAAAAGAAGCCAGAAAAAAGCACTTAATATATGGTTCTCTTTCTATGAAACTCTAGGAAAGGTTAATGTACAGTCACAGAAAGGTGATTAGTGGTGTCTTAGGGATGGAGGAGGAGTGTTGACCGCGAAGGGGCACCAATATACTTCTTGGAGGATGGAAATGTTCTATGCCTTGACTGGGGCCACTGCGTGATACAGCTGCCAACACTCATCAGTCTACACACTTAAAATGGGTCCATTTTACTGTGTGTAGACTGTCCCTCAATAAAGCTGACTTTAAAGGAAAAAAAAAAAGCCAGAAACAAGAGCAGGATTCCATTCAAGAGGTTCAAGGGCGGGAAAATCTAAGCCACAATGACAGAAATCAGAGTGACGGGACCTCAGGAGGGTGGGCATGACTGGGAAGGAATACTTGGGATTTTCTGGGGGTGATCAGAAGCTTCTTTCTGGATCTGAGCCGTGACTCCTGGGTGCGCACAGAATTTGATTCATCGAGCTGCACCTTTAAGATGTTACGGAGCTCAGGTCTGGCTGCTCGAAGCTTGAAAGCCAATACTCAAGAAACAGGTGTTGGTAGGAAAGGAGAGGTTGCTTCACACAGGAGGCCAGCAACCCGGGGGGAGAAGGCAGACTTGTGTGTCCAAAAGCCAACTCCCCCTGCCAATCAGAGCCTTTAAAGGGGAGTTTCGGGGGTGTACAGGCAAAGGGAAGGGTCTACATGCAGAAACAGCACAGTCAGCTCCGACAATCATCTTGAAATTGGTCTTGCGGTGGCTCATCAGTGTCTTGCGGTGGCTCATCAGTGTCTTGCGGTGGCCCATCAGTGTCTTGCGGTGGCCCATCAGTGTCTTGCGGTGGCCCATCAGTGTCTTGCGGTGGCTCATCAGTGTCTTGCGGTGGCCCATCAGTGTCTTGTTTTAAGCAGTTTAATCTTCAGTTCCAGGGCTGGTTTGTGCCCATTTCTTTGAGGCCAGTTCTTGGAATGGAGATGGAGCAGTTTATGTCATGGCTACAGTGTGGTCTTCATGGAGTTAACCCTTTCCACCGAGTGGGGGTTTCAGTATTGGCAAAACAGCTCAAAGGGTATGACTCAGAATGTTATCCATAGCCTTTGAGGAGGAACTAAAGGTCCTTGACTTTGTTTCATGACGAAACACTATTATTTTGTCCTGTTTGCTTTTCTTTGCTTCTGCATTTTTTCACTTCTCTGATTAAATTTATTCTATGGATAAAGTTTTCCTACAGACAAAAGGCAGGCGGAGGACACGGAGGGGGCAGTCTGTCCCGGGAAGGCCCCACGGGGTCCGGCTCGGTTTTGACGTGTTACATCTCAATTCAAAATACGGTCATGAGGACGATGCAACATTACAGCAAGGGTCACCACTTATTGGGTGTGCCTGAGTCCACAGACTATACCCTGGACGGCAAACAGATGCTTAAAACACAGTGTGAAGTGGTCACACAGTCAGATGCACACTCGACGGGCAAACACACAAAACAGACACATGGGGAAACGAGAGGAAGGAAAGACACTAAGATTCCAGCAGGGTGAGGCTGTTGGCAATGGATGTGGCCTTCCCACGTCTCTGTTTTCTCTATTCTAATATATGTGGTTACATTTGGATGATTATAAAAGAGAACTGTAACAACTTTTTTAAACACTTTGCTATTTTGAGAGCTAAAACTTGGAAATAACCCAAATGTTCAATGACAAAGAATCGGTTGTAAAATATATGTGGCACATCCACTCAGCAGAATAGGGTCTGATTCAGCCTCCTCCATCTGAAAAAGTCCAAAGGGAGAGCTGGAACTAGTAATTCCGTTTTGTTGTTTTTGTTGTGTGGTGTGTGCGTGTGTGGTTTGCGTTTTTGTTTGGTCGGTTGGGTTTTTTGTGGGTGGCGGTGGTGTTTTGTTTTAAGAATGGGCTTCCAGGGCCTCCCTGGTGGCGCAGTGGTTGAGAATCTGCCTGCCAATGCAGGGGACACGGGTTCGAGTCCTGGTCTGGGAAGATCCCACATGCCGCAGAGCAACTAGGCCCGTGAGCCACAACTACTGAGCCTGTGCGTCTGGAGCCTGTGCTCCACAACCGCAGAGGCCGTGACAGTGAGAGGCCCGCACACCGCGATGAAGAGTGGCCCCTGCTCGCCGCAATTGGAGAAAGCCCTCGCACAGAAACGAAGACCCAACGCAGCCAAAAATAAAAAAAAAAAAGCATGGGCTTCCAGGGAATTTTCAGGTTCTTTCTTATTTTTAAGTGCTATCTTATTACCTGGATGATTGGCTACAAGCCCAAGTCACTCCTGCAATCAGAAATGGGGAAAATCCAAGTCTCGCCCACTGGAATCGCCACCCCCTCCTCCCTCTGCCTTCACTCCACACACCTCGGCTGCGACTGTCCCAGATACTCGCGAACCTGATTTCACCGCGTCAAGGGGACAGCAGTGACTCAGAAACGCGATGTGGCAGGGAGAGAGGGCGTCGAGCGCAAGGCGGAGCACACAGCCTTCGTCTCCACAAGTGTTCGCTGTGTGACCTTTGCGCGTCACGGCCCCTCTCTGGGCTTCAGCTTCCTCCTGCTTATAGCAACTGGGCCCCGGGGTGGGACGCAGTCTGCGCCCCAGGGCTGGTACCCAGCTTGGACCCAGACGCGGACACAGACGAATGGGGAAGGGCTCTGCCTCCAGGCCCTGCATGACTTTCAAGCGGCTCCCTCCGTGCGGGTTCCCATCCGCTAAGCGAGCCCCGGGGCCTCCAGGGGCGCACGAGGGGCCTGCCGCGTCCAGGGAAAACCCTGCCGCCCCGTCCGGGCTCCTCCGCCCTACACCCGAGTCGGCTACAGGGTAAAGCCCGGCCGCCCCACCCCAGCGCCGCACCCCGCATCCTCAGCATCCGCACCACTCGTGGCCGCCTCATTGGCCGGCGCCCGCTCTGCAGGGCCGCCCCGCAGCCAATCGCGGTCATGGGGGCGGAGCTGCGGGCTCAGCCGGATGCTCCCAGCAGCTGCGGCCGGACGCGCCTCTGGCCGGAGCTGCCCCTGCCCCTCGGCGGCGCACCCCGACAGGAGAAGCCGGCCATGCAGGAGCCGCTGCTGGGAGCCGAGGGCCCGGACTATGACACCTTCCCCGAGAAGCCGCCCCCGTCACCAAGGGAGACGACGCGGGTCGGGTGAGAGCCTCTAGGCATAGGGTCTGCGGGTGGAGGCTAGGGATGGCCCTGGTATCCTCCAGTGGGCAGCTGGCTCCCATCTTGGGCCTCCACTGACTGTCGGTGAGTGGCCACCAAGGGGCCATCTGGTTCCCTCCTGCCCCAGACACACTAGTCCTATTTAAGGAGCCGGTCCTCCTGAGTACAGGGCCCAGCCCCCAATTGGCAGAGACAGGGCGACTGAGACCCAGAGGGGGCGAGGGGCTTGCCTAAAGTCACACAGTAAGCCTTGAACGGCAAAGCTGGGGGCAGACACCGAGCCTCCTCTGTGGGAACAGTGCTCTGCACCTGCGTCTCAGCCACAGCAGTGGGCTGCAAGGGCTGTCCTCATGCCCTGGGGGTTTCCCAAGGGAGCTGGTGCTCAGGCCTGGGAGGTGCCAGCCTGACCAGCTCTTGACCCAGCCGTCCCCAGCACGGCGCTCTGAGCGGGTAGCCACCGTGCTCAGGACAGGCAGCAGTTAGGCGAGGAGGGACTCAGATTCTGACTGCTCTGCACCCCCCACGCACCAGGGCCCTGCAGAACAAGAGGGTGTTCCTAGCTACCTTCGCTGCTGTGCTGGGCAACTTCAGCTTCGGGTATGCCCTGGTCTACACGTCCCCTGTCATCCCAGCCCTGGAGCACTCCTTGGACCCAAACCTGAGTCTGACCAAAACCCAGGCATCCTGGTTCGGGGTAAGAGCCATGCTCTGAGCTGGAGGGGGGGCAGGGCAGGGACGCACTGAGCTCCGTCCCAAGCTAGGAACCCCCCAAAGGTCAGCCTTGGGACCCCCTCCAGGGCCCTGGTCTGCCCCCCCCACACCCACTCCAGGGTGGGGTGGGTGGAGTGAGGCCAGATAATGGCTGTGAAATAAAAGGAGGAAGTGAAAGCTGATGGAGAAGGGAAGGAGCAGGTGGGGAGGTGTCCCTTAAGGCCTCCACCCAGTGGGGCTGAGGGCTCCCCAGATCCCCCCACCCAGAGCTGGGCTGTCATAGCAGAGAGGACACCTCCCTGGAGGAGGGGTGGCAGGAGAATCAGCTACTAATGGAAAAAGCACTGCTGGGGCACAGAGGGTCCCAGGATAGATGGTGGACATGTAAGTAGGAAGAGCACAGGCCCCAGGAGTCCCAAGATTCTAGAATAGCAATCTCAGCGGCCTCCGATTTACAACCACAACACGTTAGCTAAGATGATAATACCCAGTGCAGACTGCACACCTAGTGTGTGCCGGGCCTGTGCTAGGCACCTGCCACGAGAGCCGGTTTACTCCAGGGCCAACCCTATGAGAGGGGTGCTACCGCTGTCCCCATAATGCAGCTGAAGAAACTGAGGCTCAGACAGGCTGAGCACCGTGCCCAGGTCACTGACCGGATCCAACCTGGTCCACTCGACAGGGAATCCGAGAACCCCCAAATCTTAAAATCCCAAGGGCTTCAAGTCACAGAGTTCTCCTGCCTGCTCTATCACAGTGCTAGACATTTAAACATCAGGCTGGACAGAGCCACTGCAGACAGCTGTTGTGGCATCCCTAACAAACAGCTGTCCACATGCTGCTTGTACCCCTCTGGAGACAGGAGGCTCACTACCATCCAGGGCCCTAGTCCGGCAGCCCAGGCTCCTGGGACAGCCTGGAAAAGCAGCTGTCTCTAGGCTCTGACGGGGCCCTGCACCCTTTCCCCGCAGTCCGTGTTCACCTTGGGTGCGGCGGCCGGGGGCCTCAGCGCCATGGTGCTCAACGACCTCCTGGGCCGGAAGCTGAGCATCATGTTCTCAGCTGTGCCCTCGGCGGCCGGCTATGCGCTCATGGCGGGCGCCCACGGCCTCTGGATGTTGCTCCTGGGGAGGACGCTGACGGGCTTCGCTGGGGGACTCACAGCCGCCTGCATCCCGGTAAGGCCAGGACTGCCCACCCCGGTCCTCTCACTGCCTCACCATCAGCTGAGGCCTCCTGGCCTCGGAGCCCCCTGGCCAACAGGGATGTGTTTGCCAGGGAGCCTCAGCTCAGCCCCACCAGGGCAGCTAATCTGGGGGGAATCTGACACCAGTCCCAAGCCGCCCCCAGCTCTGGACTCCCCAAACTTCCTGTCCTGAGTCCTGACACATTGCTCAATCAGAGAAAATCCACATTGAGCAACGCAACAAGAAAGGGAAGGGAAGTCCCTGCCCTGCACCCTTCCTGGGACCCCCTCGTCATACCTACCATTCCACACACCCACTCGGGGGCTGGGCAAGCCCGGCATGGGACGAAGGCCCCTGAAGGAGCAGAGGCCAGAGTCCGGGTGCCCTCAGGCCTCCCAATTCCCAGCCTCACGCCCCCACGTCAGAGCTGAGCGCTTCTGCCCACTTGGCAGGGCGACTGAGGCCCAAGGGACACCACGCCGTGAGTCACGATGCGGAGGAGAACCCCGCTGGAAGCCCCCGCTCCCTGCTCCCCACGGCTCACCAGGCCACCTGTGCTACCTCAGCCGGGCCCGGGCACCTGTGTTCTCAGCGGAGGCCGGGGTGGGGGGGGATGTGTCTTGCAGGTGTACGTGTCTGAGATTGCTCCCGCAGGCGTCCGTGGGGCCCTGGGCGCCACACCCCAGCTCATG